GACGACACTCGGGGTGTGCACTTCAGGTTTGTGCTTCACTGATGGAAGTTTGACATGAAGAGGTACTGATGCCTTTGGATTGTGCTGACAGTTGTGAATAAACCAAAGTTTATCAGAAAACACAAATGCATCTTGGGAGAAATATATCCAGAATTCTAAAAACCAGCGATGATGAGGCTTCGTCTCACATCCTTCAGACCTGCTTATCAGGAGGGGCCAGTCCCTGGAGAAGGACATCTGCCTGGGAAAGAAGAGGGTCAGTGACAAAGACCTTGGATGAGGTGGACTGACACGGTGCCTGCAGCAATGGGCTCAAGCTTAGCCAGGAGTGTGAGGCTGGGCAGGACCAGCCAGTGCTTTGTTCTGTTCCGGATTCGGAACCAACCCCACAGCACCCAACGACCACCTGGGAAAGAATGGTGGTCGCTTCCCTGAGGAAGGAGCTCTGAAGAAATGGCGGCTGGCGGGGCTCTCCAGGAGGGGACCACATGTGCCCCCTGGGAGCCTGGAGCAGGAAGGCTTCCCTCTAGCAGTCCCTTCTGCTGAAGTCAAGGGCAGGGCCGGGCTACAGTCAGACGTGACCACCTCGACTACAAACCGGGTAAGAAGCGGTGTGACCGGCAGGGCGCGTTGCAGAACAGGTCCTTACAAAAAGTTTGTGTCGAAAACCCAAACCCACTACTGCTGAACTGCTCCCAACTTACAGCAACTGTCCCTGGCTTCCCAAGGCTGTGAACCCCACGAGGGGCTGCCACCTGCCTCCCGAGAGCCGACGGGCTGGAACCACTGAGCCTCGGGCCCCGAGTCGGTGCTCGACTCACCATGTACTGCACTACAGCTCCCTTCAGTTGGAAAGACAGGAGCCAACGGGCTGCAGTGACCAAGCAGCCGTGTGCAAAATGGGCTGAGGACCACGGACTCAAGGTGGGGAGGGAGGCACGTAGGGGAAAGTGGTCAAGAGAGGACGGTGCACAGGGACCAGGGGAGGATGGTGCATGGGGGCCAGGGGAGGACGGTGCACGGGGGCCAGGGGAGGACGGTGCACGGGGACAAGGGGAGGACGGTGCATGGGACCAGGGGAGGACAGTGCATTGTGACTCAGAAGGACAGTGGGGACGGGGTGGGGGGAAGTGAGAGGATGGTGCATAGGGAGTGAAAGATGATGGCACATGGGGACCAGGGGAGGACAGTTCCTGGGGACTAAAGAAAGACGGGCCATGAAGACAGAAAGAGGACAATGCAGCACGGGAATGGAGGGAGGACGGCGTGTGGGGCTGGAGGGAAGACGGTGCACGGGATGGAAGGAAGATGGTACACGGGGACAGAGGGAGCACGGTGCACGGGGACAGAAGGAGGCTGAAGTGCAGATGGCGTGCACCTGCTCACTTGCAGTTCAGCAGAGCAGGGACGGCCACGCTGGGTGCACGGTCAGCCAGGGAGAGCAGAAGATCAAGGGCAGTGCAGGAGTGCAGCCCCTAGAAGAGATGGGGTGAAGGGTGGACACTGTGCTAAGGGGTCACCCACACCACTGAGGGGACACAGGAAGATAGAAGGACTTAGACAGAAGGTCAAGGGCGGGTCAAGCCCAGTGGCCCTGAGATATCAGAGCTAGAGGATGTGGTGACGTGACACAGGCGAACAGGAAGCACCTCTGGGGAGACCTGTATGAGGGTGACGCTGACATGAGTGCTGGGGCGCTGGGAACTCACCTCACCCATTCAGAAGGCAGGGCAGGATAAGGGGGAGGGTAAGACCCCCTAAGAACCACCAGGGTCCCATGAAGGAGACTGTCAGGGCTGTTCTGTGGACAGGCCAAGGTTACAGAGCTTCCAGGAAGAAGGGCAGAGGAAGAAAAGCGGCGAACCATGGGCTGGGCTTTGGTAGTGACCACGGATGTCAGGGCAGAGGGGGCACCACTGGGCCCTGGACACCATCTGCCTGCTGGAGAAAGCCGCTCCCCGTCCTGGGAGAGTGGGGACCCACCCCCCGCCGGGGCACAGAAAATGGAGCTGGCTGGTGTTCTTCAAAGTCGTCATCACCATCAAATCGATGACCGTTCATGACAAGACCACGTGTGCAGAGAAGAGCAGTGTTTCAGGGGTTCAGGGCTGTGGCCTGTTAGAGCGATCCCCCAGCCTCACTCTGCTCGTCCAGTCTGAAACAACCACACCCATGTGACCCTACCGCCCGCTCAGGACAGAGGGTAGGGGCTCCAGGGCAGCAACCCTGTGCTCGCCATACCTTTACTCATGACAGCGGAAAGGGGCAACCACCCCCGGGTCCGTCAGCACAGGGACGGAGCCCACCCAGGGACAGAGAGCCTCTGCCTGGGGGCCTGTTCAGAAAGGAGAGGAAGGAGACACCCACAGCAAGCTCTGCGCCTTCACAGCTCCCCGCTGCTCTCTGCTGTAGATGCCAAGGGAATGGGACTCCTACCCATCCCCGGCAAGCATTCAGCGACACCTCATTTGATGATGATGATGATAGAGGGATACTTCCTTTTATTACACCTTGGAGACAATGACGTTTACAAATGGATGCTTTGTGGCAGCCCCACCTCAAGCAAGTCTGATGGCGCTATGTTTCTAAGAGGCTGTGCCAATCCCATGTCTCTAGGTCATATTTCAGTCATTCTCACAATATTTCCAACTTTCCCATAATGCTATTTCACATTTCATAAACAACAGCATCCCACATCGATATAACTTTGACCCTTGTCTAGGGCCTGGGAAAACCAACAATCCCTGGGACTTGCTTATCGTAAATTATCGTGGTATGTTTAATCCTGTGATAATGCTTCATTGGGGTGGCCCTGAACTAACCCAAAATATCTCCAAGATATGCATGTACTCAAAAGCTGAGCCGTGAATAAATAGGGAAGAGCACGAGTCAGGATGGGTCAGAGGCATGGGGCAGTAAGGGAAGAAGAATCAGTGTCTCTGAATCGTTGGGGAGGGGGAGGGTAAAGAACAGCGGGCAGAGTGTGAAGAGCCAGAAGAGTGGGCAAGCCTGTCTTGACGAAGGGCCACGCTGCTCCGGAGAAGCAGGGACAGTGGGACGTCACCTCACATATTCTGGTCAAGTTGTCAAGAAGGACCTGGAGGAGGACATCACACTTGGCAAAGAGGTCAGCAAAAGAGAAGACGACCCTCAGAGACATGGACAGACACAGTGACCGCAGCAAGGAGCTCACACAGCAGAGGGTGTGAGCACGGGGTGTGAGGACGGGGCGTGAGGATGGGGTGTGAGCATGGTGTGTGAGGAAGAGGTATGAGCACGGGGTGTGAGGAAGAGGTGTGAGCACGGGGTGTGAGCACGGGGTGTGAGCATTGGGTGTGAGGACGGGGCGTGAGGATGCGGTGTGAGCACGGGGCATGAGGAAGAGGTGTGAGCACGGGGTGTGAGGACAAGGTGTGAGGATGGGGCATGAGAATCAAGGTGTGAGAACGGAGTGTGAGGATCAGGGTGTGAGGACGGGATGTGAGAACAGAGTGGGAGGACGGGGTGCGAGCACGGGGCGTGAGAGCGGGGTGTGAGCACATGGTGTGAGGGTGGTGCAGCATCCCACAAGGTCTGAGTCAGTTGTACCTGGGTCACCATCAGTCAGAACTGAACCAATGGCACCTAAAAATAACATCTGTACTTGCGAAGATGCAGGAAATATCTTCCCGTATTTTGTTACTGTTGTGTACCGTCAAGTCAGAACCGACCCATAGCTGGCCCTTCAGTGGGTTTTCAGAGGCTGTAAATTGCACGGGAGGAGAATGCTCCTCCTTCTGCCATGGAGCGGCTGGTGGATTTGAACCGCATACCTCGGCATTGGCAGTGAAGCTCCTTTCCACTCCACCACCAGAGCTCCTTGTCTTCCAAATAGCTGCAGAACGGAAGGCCCGTCATGCAGTTCTCATGGGTGAACACCGTGTTCAGGGGGAACAACCACTGAGTCAGAGACACCCCCCAGCAGGGGCCGACAGTGGAAGCACACCGCCCTCTTTCCTATTCAACAGCGCCGACTTCAGTGTGCTCTTCCACCCTTAAGACGTAGCCAGAATCCTCAAAAGACTGAAATTTGTTTTAATAACCCGCGTAATTTATATACAAAAACTTGTAAAACTTAGTCGCCCTTATTCATCAGAGGGCTGGAGAAGGCATTTCCTTAGGTCAGCAGGCCAGGGGCCAGGGGGAGGGCAGCAGGCAGAGGTCAGAGAGAGTGCCCTGAACTGACAAGCAGGGAGTCTGCACCGAGGCTGCCTGCGTCCTCCTGGGGACAGATGCCCCAGCCTGCTGACCACCACACAGAGGGGTCCCTCCCACACCCATCCTCACCCACCCCAGCCTGCTGACCGGCCACAGAGGGGTCCCTCCCAGACTCATCTTCACCCATCCCCAGCACAGCTGACCACCACACTGCGGTCCCTCCCAGGACCATCCTCACCCTTCCCCAGCCTGCTGACCACCCACACTGCGGTCCCTCCCACAACCATCCTCACCCATCCATACCACCGTTGACCACCACACTGGGGCCCCTCCCTGGCCCACCGTCACCATCCACACCGGGTCATGGCTGTGGCCCTGCAAAGTTCAGGCTGTGCAGCCCCGTCTCCACAGGAAGGAGGTTGGGTCTTTGGAACAGCCGGGTTCTCAGACATCACAACATCTCTAGACGCCAACAGAGCTAACCACAATTTCAGCCCTGGAATCCTTCACATTGTAGGGGGCAGAGGGGGCTCTCAGGCACTCCCATTGTGGAGGGGCAGGGGAGGGGAACCACCTTACACCCAGTAATGCCGGGTTCATAGTGGGGCTGGGAACGTGGACACTCCCAGTGTTGCTGAGAACAGTATTCCCGCACTGTGGAGGGAACTGAGGGGTGTCCTGGGTCTTCCCAATGCTGATGGTGAAGTCGAGTGTACAGTATTCCCAGTGCTGGAGGTATGGAATGAAGGCAGGCTGTCTGACACCCCCAGCACTGTTAGGGAGGCGGGGTGTCGGGCACTTACCAGTGTTTTCCATAGAGCCAGTGGCCCCCCCAGGTCAGCAGGCAGACCCCGGCCGTGGTTTTCTTCCAGTGAGTTCGAAGTGTTTTAAAGAACACAGGCATCTTGTCGGGAGGTAGGCTGGTTCTGTGGAAACAGAGACCACCACCATCGTGGGTGCACAGGGTCCCTGTCTCTCCTTGTTCCACGCTGTCCCTCCCCTGCGGCCCCTCCTCACTCCTGCTTTCCTCCCTCTGAAGGACACTTTCTCAGCCCTCCTCCTCTGAGCCCGACCCTCCCCTGCCCTCACCTCCCATTCTCCCTTCACCTCCTGCCACTGAATTTCTCCTTTGCTCTGCAGTCACACTTTCCTCCTGGACTTGGAGGGAACAACGCAGAGAGAAGGCGAGCCCAGCCTGGCTCGGCACCCCTCCCTACACTCTCACCCTTGACCCCCAGCTGACCCTCTGGGGGCTTCCAAGCTGTAAATCCCGTGGAAGGAGACTGTCAGTCTGTCTCCTGTGGAGCTGCTGGTGGACTGGATCAGCTAGAATGGCGTGGCCACCAGACCTCTGGACTTTACACCACCGATTAACAGCACCCCTCTGTCCACACCGTACAACCAGAACACAAGCCAGGGGAGGGTTTACTCATCCCGAAGGGAGGAGACATCCCCACACCTTCAACCATCCACAGAGAAAGAGCAGAGGGCTCGAGGGGAAACGTACTGTGGGAAGTAAGTGAGGCTACACAGCTGTGTCCTCTCCCACACAGGGACCGCAAGGAACTGTCCCTATGCAAAGTAAGGCCTGGTGGTGTGGTGGTTAAAGTGTTCTTTATCCAGTCTCAGGGTGTTAACGTCAAGGCCAGCCGCTGGAATCCAGCAGCCCCCTCTGAAGGAGCGAGCTGAAGCTTCCACAAGGTTACTGCCTGGAAAGCCCTGCGACTGTCCCGGCGGCTGGCAGAGGCTGGAATCACTGGGCAGCAATGCGTCCAGGTTTTCCATTTAAATGTCTTGTTTAAAATCTCTCCCAAGGCACGAAACATACTTCTCACAACCAGTAATGGAGGCAGCACAGGGGAACCCTGTCCCTCCCCGGTAATGTGGCGCCGTCCACGCGGGAGATGAGATCCTGAGGACACAGCTGACCCAGCAGCTCCTCTCCACACCTCTGCTGGGCACCTGTGAGCAGAGAAGCTGTGTGCTCGGCACCTGTGAGCAGGACACCTGTGTGCAGGGCACATGTAAGCAGGGAAGTTGTGTACTCAGCACCTGTGTGCTGGGCACTTCCGAGCAGGGCGGCTGTGTGCGCAGCACCTGTGAGGGTGCCATGCTGGGTGCAACAAAAAAAGGGGGGTCTCTCCTCTCAAGCGCTCAACTGTCAAACCCACTGTGCAGTGGGCTGAAGGAGGGGATGGAGACTTCATCTCATGGGCCTTGAACATCATCCGATATCAGCAATGACACCACTTGTTCAATAGCCTCTCCTGAATCCAGGAAAACTGATAGTCTCACCACTAGACCAATAGATGGAGGGGAAAAAAAGACTGAATTGCCAAGGACTTTATTTTACTTTTCTCCATATTGGCACCTGTGGGAGCAGCAGTCAAGAAATCAAAAGGTCTGCTGCATTAGGCAAATCTCCTGTCACTATCTCTATAAGGGGCTAAAGAGCAAGGACACGCGTTCAAACACTGAGGCGTACCTGACGCAAGCCATGGTGTTTTCAATTGTCTTATGTGCATTGGACAATGAATAAGGAAAGCCAAAGAGTCAATGTCTTTGAAGGTAATTGAATACCCCCTGGAGCAGAATCGTATCCTTTCTCCATACCTATCCAATTTGCACGCTGAGCAAATTATTTAAAAAGGACTCTGAAGAAGAATGTGGCATTGGTATTGGAGGAAGCCTCATCAATAGCCTTGCTTGCTGAAACTGTGGAGGACTCGAAGCACTCACTACAGATCGAAGAAACTACAGTCTTCAATCAGGATTGCATCTCAACATGAAGAAAACAATGATACTCATCCCTAGGCAAGATCATGTTAGAAGATCAAAACGTCCTTGACTTCATCTTACTTGGATCCACAGATCACAAGACGTATTGCACTGGGAAAGTCTGTAATCAACAGTCTGTAAATAACCTCTTCAAATTATTGATGAGCAATGATGACACTTAGAGAACTAAGGTGTGACTGATTCAGGCCACAGTCTTTTCAATCACTTGCTATGTATCTGAGAGACAGACAATGTTAAGGAAGAGAGAATTGACGCCTTTGAGCTGTGGTGTTGGAGAACTGTGAATATCCCATGGACTGCCAAAAGAACAGACAGATACACCGTGGACAAAGTGCAGACAGACGGCTTCTTGGAGTCAAAGATGATAAACCTTTGCTTCACATTCTTTGGGCATGAGGGCAAAGAGAGGAAGACCCTCAACCAAAAGGAATAACCTACTGACTACAGAAATGAGCTGAGTGTGTCAGAGACTGCGAGGTTAGTGCAGGATAGAACAGAGTTCAGATCAGTTCAGACACTGTGAGGTTAGTGCAGGATAGAACAGAGTTCAGATCAGTTCAGAGACTGCGAGGTTAGTGCAGGACAGAACGAGTTCAGATCAGTTCACATGGCCATTGAGTTGTACCCGACAGCACTTGATACTCTCAGAGTGCTAAAGAGCAATGATGTCAGTCTAGAGACCAAGGTGCCTGATTCTGGTCATGATCTTTGCAATTACTTGTTAGGCATCAGAGAGCTGGGAATGACCAAAGATGACAAAAATGAATTGATGTCTTAGAGTTGTGGTACTGGAGAAGTCTTGAACATACCATGAACGGCCAAGAGAACAAATATGTCCTGGAGAGTGTGAAACCAAGCTGCTCCTTGGATACAAGAATTCTGAGGCTCCATCCCAAATACTTCAGGCATGTTTCCAGGAGGGACATCATGGTTGTAAAGTGGGAGGGACAGTGCAAGAGAGGAAGACCCTGATGAGATGGCTTGACACTGTAACAGGGGTAATGAGGGTGGGTGTGTCAGAACGGGCTCAGCATAAGGCAGGGTTCAGAGGTTTTGTGTACAGGGTCCACTGAATGGCACATAACAACAACTAACAAATTTGGGCATGTTATAAGGCCAGACCAGGCCCTGGAGAACATCATGCCTGGTAAAGTGGACGGTCAGGGAGTCAGACTCTGAACGAGATGGATTAGCACAAATCTAAGGGCTGAGGGTGGCCCAGGGGAAGAGACTACAGAACTATCAGTCTAGGGTCACCACGCGCTCCAGGACACGTTGTCTCGTAAACATGTCTACAAAGATGCAAACTGTCATCACCCCATGTCACTGAATAGCCAACAATGTACACTCTAAGTAACTTCTGTCTGAATAACCACACAAATATCTCAGCCAAAGTCTTAAAGTCCGTCTGTCCACAAGAGATTTTCTCCAGTGGAAAGCAGCTCGCTTCCTTCTCAAACAGCTCCCCGACTCTGAGCCGGGAGCGAGCTTCCCGCCGCCTCCAGCCCCGGGCCGAGAAGAGGCCGGAACGAATGAATGAACGAAGCAGCCGGCGCAGGCGATCATCGGCCGCTGTCTGCCCCATCTGACAGGTGAGCGAGCCGAGGCCCGGGAGGAAAGGTCACGCGCGGAGGGTCACACGCGGGCGCCAGCGGAGACCCGGCCCCACGACCCCGGCGGCCGCAGGGAGGGCGCAGAGGCCGGGGCCACGCCGGGCGCTCGGCTGTCTCCCCG